TCAATTTATTATTGGTTATTTAATATATCTATTTGTTTTTTACCATATTCATGGATAATAATATATATATATTATTATTTTCATTTTTAGGCAACCAATTGGTTGGTACAATTGGTATCATCCCAATATCGGTTACGATTATTTTTTGTATCATATTTTTTGAATTAATTGGGGTCCACTACCATTTCCCTTGAAGGATAGCCGACCAATTGATGGATTAAAATGAATAGGTATCAACCACGCTCTCGTTTCTTCTAGGGGGATACCCCGATATACCTTTGATATAAAACCACCAATATTATCCCTGATGTGGATTTTTTGAAAACTAAATATTCCTTATTATTTTTATGTTTAGATTATATATCCTTCAAATACAATGTCTAATTATGAATTTTGCCGAGTTCAGGGTGCAGAAATCTGTATTTTGATCCTAGGTGCTCGGTGGGGTATTGCCTAAGTCAAGGCGCAAATTTCTGCACCTAGACTTGGGTAATATATAGGTTATAATCTAAAATTTAGGAAAAAAACATATTTTTTTTGCCGATATTAGGTCCTACACCTATCCCTATTCCTATTCCTACTCCTACTCCTACTCCTACTCCTCCTACTACTACTACTACTACTACCATACTACTACCATACTACTGCTACTACTACTACTACTACTACTACTAGTACTACTACTACTCCTCCTGCTACTCCTACTCCTACCCCTACTGCTACTGCTGCTGCTACTGATACTGCTATTATTACTACTACTACTACTACTGCGACTACTGCGACTACTACTACGACGACGACGACTACCACAACAACTGCGACTGTAACTACGACAATACGACTATACTATACGACATGGGGGATACCTTAAGGGGATACCCCCGTCAACATACCTCAGAATAATAAGTTAATTTTCCGGCATACCTTGAGTTCAAAAAAATATTATTCCAAGAACTCACTGAAATATATGGAAATTTGGAATAATTTCCATCAAAATAATACCGGTATAGTCTAGTTCTAGCCAAACGCAAGTAATCGTAAGCAGCTGCATTTTTTTTTGTCAGAATAAGATCTCTAAACAAATGCCCTTTCAGCAACCCCCTAGTTGAACATTGTTTTAATTGGTTTTGGATGTTTTTCCAGTTTCTGTGTGGCCTCAGTGGGAATGAGTGGGAAAAGGGAAATATTTGGTCGTCACTGTTTTTTTGTTTTTTGCAAATTTCTGGATTTATTTTGAGATTGTAGTAATTGCCACTTTTGTTTTTGAGGGGTGCCAGACATTTCCAATAGCTCTAGAATATTTTTTTTACATATATTTCTCCTGAAAAATCCACAAAATGGCACTCAACCTGGCTCTCTCCTCGAAATTTTCCCAAGCTTACATACGTTCCCCTATTTCTTCCATATTCCCTTCATTTCCTTCCAAAAAACTATCATTGGCCATAATGGGAATGAGTGTTTCTTGATAAGCCTTGCCAATTTCTGGGCTAGTTTGGTAATTAGCTACCCACTTTGGTTTTTGAGGGGTACCAGGCATTTCCAATATCCCTAGAATAATTTTTTCCCTGG